CTTCCAAAGTGCTCTTAGGCTTAATATAATAATGGGCATCAGGGAGCAACGGACAGACAAATTTCTACTCAATCAGTTTGAAACCGACTTCAGGAAGCAAATCTCAAGGCTTGCCGACCAGCCTTAAGTCCTGTATTAAAATTAGAAATCGACTTCAGTGGGCAACAGAACACAAAAATTTGGCAATAATGTCATTGGTGTTCTGTTCTCTTCTCAGACGAGTAGCGATTTTGTTTTGACTTCCATGATGAAAGAAGACTTATTAGGATTGCAAATGGGGGAAAATATGCTGATTGTGTCATTTCTGAGCAATACAGAGTAAATGGAGGTTTGGTGATGGTTTGGGCGGGCATAAGTATTGACTGCAAAACTGATATGCACATTATTGAAGGCAACCTGACAGGTTTTAAATACCGAAATGATATCCTTCATCCTATTGTTAGACATATTGCATGTACTCTGGGGGAGGATTTTATTTTAATGGACGTTGTTCTACCTCATAGAGTCCAAATTGTAAATGAGTACAGTGAACCCTCAGATATCCGGACGCCAGATATCCGGATGCTTCAGTATCCGGACGATTTTTCATCGGAACGAAATTTTTAAAAGTTATTTTATCTTGTTTAACTGGTGCTTCAGATATCCGGATGCTTCACATATCCGGACAAATTGACTGGGAACCAAAGTGTCCGGATAAATGAGGGTCCACTGTACATGGAAAGTAAAACAACTGAGGGTATGGACCCGCCAATTCGTTTTCTAGACCTGAAGTTAATTGAACATGCCTGGAACATTCTTTAGCAAAGCATTATAGTTCGTCTTACACTTCCCCAAAATCGACGGGAGCTTAAGACAGCATTGCAGGAGGAATGGCAACAGATCCCTCAGGCTAGCCTTAGACGGCTGATGGGCAGCATGGGTTTGCGCTGCAGGGTCTCGCGAGGAGGTCAGACAAAATACTGGCAATAATTTTGATGACGTAATTTAACTCTTCTGAAAAAACATCTTATTTTCAGGTCTACCCCAACATGCCGAATTCTAAAGTGACCGTAATGAACTATTCGTAGCGTGTGTTCAAACAAATTTATCACGTCCATTGTTTAATTTTCACTTTTTAAATATAAAATATGATACAAAAATTAAAACTGCATTTTGTTTTCTATGATACAATTTTTGTAAAAAATATTTAATTTGATGATCCTTAACTTTTCTTGTCCAGTATAACTTAAAAACAATGTAGATTAATCCCCAACGAATTTTTTTTTCATTTTTGGCAAAAGAAATTATTTCTTGCAATATTAATTACAATGTGGAAGTTGAATGTATTTTAAAACATCATTATGCAAATATTTTATATATTAAAGATCATGAATTATTTCAAATAATTGAATGTTATAAAATAAGTAAATTCAAAAATACGAACAAGAACCATTTCAGACAACATATCGCAATGATTTGATCATTGACCTCATATTATATCAATACCATTATAAGACGATAAATAATTTAGATTTCTTATCATTCAGATTTTTGAAATACTTGATGGGAAATGGGGAAAAAATAGAAAGATGACAGAGGAAATTCAAACTGCAATAATTCATAAGTATATGTTTCAAATTCTAATCACTTATTTATATGAAGCAACGCTGTTCCGTTCCTATAATATTCCATTAGTAAAAGAGATCTGTTTCTTTTAATATTTGGTGTGTAAAGGAAAAACTGGTCAAAATTGAAAAAATGGGGTATTTTCCCAGAAATACTCAGGGGTCACTAGCATGAAAAGTATGTCATTGACCTACTTATTTGAAATTGAAATTTCACACAAGAAATACAGGTGTACTATGTGCAGTAGGTGGTTTTTCGCATACTTTCAAAACAATATAACGGCAGAAGAGTCCATGTAGTATTCGAGAAAGCACTATTTAAATATCTTACTTGCACCTAGAAATACAATTTAAACGACAGAAGGAACGCTTCCTCAGATGTGAATATCACCATGGTTGTTGAAGAAATAACTCAAGCATTCGGTGATGGCAGTCTAAGTTCAGATATGATCACTGAAATTTCCCCTGTATATTTCCCATGTGTGCGCTGACTACAACTCCTCTAATAAAACTATCGAAATCGAACTGTCTGCCAGTAAAAGATATACAGAATACGGGTTCTGGTCGTTAACAAACAGAATTTTTTTTATTGCAATCAGGGCTTTTCTGCTTTTGCTAATATTTATTTCTGTAATTATATGCCTAAACAGGCGCAATGCAAGCAAAATTATTTAAAAGCTATGTTTTCGAAACAAAGACATATTCAAACTGTAGTTAATAACTGTAATTGGGAAGCAGATACATAAGATAATGCTAGTGAAAATATACATTTAGATTTTTTGTACATTTCTAAAGCGTAAATTTTTTATTATGATTCATGTCAAAATAAAATGTTACATTGTAAATATATTGAACAACTCCTAGAAAAGGAGAATAATTAGTTGGATCATTAACAGTATAATCAGTGCTTCGATTTTACAAATCATAATGTGAAATACTTATTCCAAGATCTTACTAATATTTTTGGTAATATACACATTTGTAGAATAATTGTAGAATACTTAAATAACATTTAAATATTATTTTTGAAATTAAAATTGTACGCCCAATCATGTTTTGATGAAGTAAGGAGAAATGTGGAAAACTCTCCTTAAATTTTTCTTAATCCAACCCACACTTGCAGTAGTTTTTCCCCTTTGCGGGATCAATCTAAAGGTCAAAAGGGAAAGTAACGTCATTTCTCCTCTTTATGCTACCAAATATTTGGGCGTGCTGTGATAAATCCAGTGTGTTTCAATTTTTTTTCTTTCAATGTGTGGGTAGCCCCATCTTGGGGCAATCGGTACACAAAGGACAGAGCTTTTTAAAAGTCAAATGACGAAGTTACAAACCTGAAAACAACGAAAGCTACCGTGTGTGTGAATTGTTTGGGTTTATCCCCTAAGATGGCGGCCAAGGGACATTATTTTTCAATAGCATGGATAGGACTATTAGAACAGTTTTACATGATATGCCATATTAACTATAAATAAACGTAAAGCTTCCAAGAGCATTCTCTTTTCTTAAAGAGGAAACATTTTTCAACAAGATACAAGTGATATAAGGCAATATCGTTAAAATGATTTTTAAGAATAATTTTATTGAAAAAGGTGCTGATTAAACTTAAATCGGAACACTAATCGTAAATAAGCAAATGCAAGATTATTTTTCCTTTCACCAAAATCAGCACTCGGATGCATCCTTTGCTTTTGTTGCACCTTATTGTTTTTTTGTCACGGGTATATGTACCTGTGTACAATGGGCGACATTTGTTCGTGCTGTTTACCTAACATTATTTTTGTTTATAGATTATTGCACTTTACTGACTAAGTGTGCGACTTATATAAGGCCTTCAGATAATTATAAAGACAAAAAAAAAGAATTTTGATGCCCATATTTCTTTTAGAAATCTTGTTCAGCCTTAATGAGAAGAAGTGTTAAAATTTAACTTATACACTTAAAAAAGTTCGTAACATGCACTTATTATTTTTGCAATGAATATTTACCTTATCGGTACTAGTATAAATAATATGCCATTCAATACATTTGTATCGATAAGTGCCTTAGTGTCATTTAAATTCCTTCGATGACTTTCCTGCCCCTAAAACAATTTCTGATTTGCACTTCGCCCCATTTTTACACAGACAGGAAGTTTTGATTGTTGTTGTCTCCATGTTTCCTATTTTTGTATGGAGCCCCACTTTCAGTCCAGAAAACAGAAACTGCAAATGCGGTTTTTTAAATAATGTTTTTAAAAATTGTTTTCATATGAAAAATTAGAAAGATGATCAGGTTATCCTTAATTTAAAGATAGATCTATAATATCAAATGCAGTGATCCTCAGACACACCTGGTGTTGCTTATAAGGGCGTTCCCAAAAACTCTTTAAAAAGTTTTAACAAATTATAACAAATTTAAAAAATACACAAGAATTAACAGTAATAATAACTGGTAGTAATCCAATGCCTGGGTGTCCATACCAAGTCCACCAAACTTCTGGTTGTCCCAGTATCGTGAATCAATCTTTAAAGAGGCATGTGGTGCTCAATTAATGCCCTGAATATCTGTAGTAAACGTTTTTATGTTCTTGAAACTCTTTGAAATAATTCTGCAATAGAAAACTGAATAATCTTAAAATAATTTTATTCTTCACTTATTTCTCTGAAAGAGACCGCCAAATCCCTGCAACACCATTCCAACGGCATAGCATGCTCTTCTGGTGTCAAGGATTGCATAGGAGCGCAAATAAAAAAAACTAAATTATTATAAACAATTAGATAATTTGTCAACATTTAATATATTTACTGTGATACAAAAATGAAATGAACAAATTACTTCATTTCTGTTTAGAATGTCTCTAATGTGTCGTTGGTCATTACTTGGACTTAGCACAGTAACATTTAGAAACAATGACACTTTATTCTTTGCATTTTAATTTCAACATGTAAACTTTAATTTGCAACTTATACTTTTAATTTCTCTACTAGTCAAGATATAAGGATTTTTTTGGAAACCAGTCTCTTAGGTTAAAAAATCTTCTTAGAACAGAAGTAAAACGGACCCTTTAAACATTAAGTAGGATCCGATGCCATGGAGAAGTAGGTGTGTTTCTTGTCCATGATGGATAAATCCGTAGATAATTTAGAAAAAAAAATCTTAGAACAATGTTCTATTGAAAAGAACATTCGAATCATGATAGATTGCATTTTCTGACGACGACATTATATAGAGCAAAAAAAAAAACAAAACGTTTAGTTCAAATCGAGATATTCCACTTCTCTGTTCACCATACTAAAGAAATATATCTTTACAATAAAAAAAACTACCTGAAGAGGTAATAGTACAAAGTCTAATATTTTATCTCAAACCCGTTTTCCTGTTTTTCAATAACGGCTCTCGACACGTTATAAATCCGTCAGATATAACATATATAACAGATAAAAAAGGCATAAAAATGGAAGCTAAGGGTTTGAGATACCTGTTCATTATTATAATTGTTGATCTTGAGTTAGTGACCGGTTCCTGTAATCGAAACTATGGACCAGCAGGTTCTCCCGAATGTGTGTTTTTTGACCGATATTATCCAAAATACCAATGGGCCACCTGTCTAACAAATGAATACATTCAGACGGTTTCAAAGGGAAACGCCATTTGTCGAGATCAATATGCAACTTACTGCTATTACCAGTGCATGATGGAAAGCTATGAAATTTCTGAAGGTTAGTAAAAATGAGTGTAAAGTAAGGCGAGATATTTGCCATCTAGATGATATTAGATATGTATAATATATGAGGTTTGAACGTTATAAGAAACACTTCCCAAGGTTATATATATTTGAGGTCACAGACGTCTGTTTCTTATATTTAAATGAAAATCGCAAATCTACCTATTTCGTCAATAGACACCAAGAAGGGTATGGAGAATACGAACAGTATTCAATATCAAAGTCCATAAAACAATACAAAATAGGAGCAGAGCAAACACGGATCTCCGAAACATCAGAGGTTGGATTAGATGCCAAGGTGGAGTAAGCATCCCCTGCTGACCTGTCACACCCGCCGTGTACACCTTGTCCTGATCGGGGAATAACTGAAAAGTCCGTCGTCAATTTAATGTATAAATAATGCACTAACAATAAGTATGAAAAACGTCAGTAAGCATTTGACTTAATGATAAATTGTATTTGCTGACAAGGTCATCGTTCGACCATAGAACTAACGAACTGATGACTTTAAACGAGACTGCTGATATTATTTGTTTCATCAACTCGCTTGTCAATAATTTACCTCTTTTTAGAAATTGTTCGTTCGTAGAACATGCTCTTGCGTATTGAATCAATTGAGATATATTTCCATTTCTAATTTTCTTCTCTGTGATAACTCTTTGAAAGTTTTGGGAGTATATTCTTGATAATTCTGCCGGCATGTAAATTAGGCAGGTCGATAGGTCAGCAGCTAAGGAGGCCTAATATGCATGCAAATCTCGTGCGAATCTGTCTCTGTGTCTGACGCTAAGGAGGCCAAATATGCATGTAAATCTCGTGCGGCTGCCTTTGTGTTTGACGTCAGTGTGCGAAGACTATTGAATTTGGCATGGAAGTCCTCGTGTAATTTAAATCGATTAGTCTACATTTTTAATGTCTAAGTCTACAATTTTATTTCACTATGAAATGGAAATATAAGGAATCACTGTCTAGTTTTGAGAGTATGCCAGGGACATCAACAATAGTGGGAAACAAGGGATAATTTTAGCATAACGGGCTTCGCCCGTTATGCAAATTATCCCATGTTTCCCACTATTGTTGATGCCCTGGCATACTCTCAAAACTAGACAGTGATTCCTTAAATATACACTCCGTATGCAGGTGATGAAAGTATATTGCTGCATAAGTAAGGGAAGTTGACGATAGAAAATTTATAATCTTCACGTTTATCATAGCTTGGTTGTAAGTTTCCATTAACGTCTCTTTCCAAGTAAAATATCAAAGTATGAAACAGATGTGTTAGACTCTGTGGTATATTTTATCTCAAGCTCACCAGGATATATCGTATCGACGTAGGAATGGATTGATTGATTGTATATTGTTTAACGTCCCTCTCGAGAATTTTTCACTTATATGGAGACGCCACCACTTGTCGATGGAGAACTGCAAATTTTGTCCTATACTCGGCACTCAGGGCCATTGAGCAGTGAGGGATCTTTTTCGTGCCAGCACCTACTGCGACAAGAGACCTCAGTTTATACGGTCTTATCCGAAGGACCGGTCTCCACGTACCACAGTGAGATTCGAACCGGCGACGTAAAGATCAACTCCTTACTTTGCGACTCTAGAGCAGACGCTCTAACCACTGCGCTACGCGGGCCGTAGGAATAGAAATAACCATTCTTAATTGACAATACGTCGTCGATATATTCAGGTGATAATGGTATATTGTTATACAATTGTGCGATATTGACAATTTAAGTTGAAGTTACCCTAAATTTTGACGTTTTAAAATAAGTGATTAAAGAGTATTATTTTAAACGATTTTAACAGCACAAGTAATGACGTCTAGCAGGGCTTTAACGCAGGGTTTATGGGCTGTTTAACGTGACTGCCCCGTTACATTAAAATTCCTTAGCGCCGCAGCTAAAAAATCAACGCCAAAGTTCCGCAACATTTAATATGTTAACGCCACAGTACGATTTTTATTGTCAGTGAGATTAATACGTTTTATAAAACAAATAAACCTCCAAATATATATAAAGGATCGTTTTTCAGTTTCTAATGCTATAAGTATATTAAACTCTTCAAAGTGTAATTCATATCAATATTTAATTGACAATATCTGTTTGCAATCATATTTTACAAAGCCTATTCACAAAAAATAGACAACTATGAACAATTATTAACAAAATTTAGGTTATCGAATCACACGTTGGGTATTGAGACAGGTCGACACCATAACATGCCTAAGATTAATAGATTACATGTTTGTATATGTTGTTATCTCCATCATGTAGAAGAGAATTTTATTTCTTTTAAAATGCACTTTGTAAATTGATCTAAAGAAGAATTTTTAATATCATTATACTAAGCCAAATGTCTTTAAATTAATTCAGCTGTTAAGTTCTAATAATATTGAGATCTTTTAAATTTTGCCAATTTTTGAATGCTGCAACAAAATTGTTTCTAATGGTAAACCAATAATTTACTCTAATCATGCTAATAAGGGCCCATTGTTTGATTTCAACATGCGATTATCATTTAGACCTTGCTGGAAAAATGAATGAAAAGAGAAAAGCTATTTTTGCACACTTCACGTTAATAAATGCACACTCTAAAACAAGTGATGAAAAGCAAGTATCTTAAATTGCATTTTCACTGTGAGTCTTATATTGTACCTATAAGTGTATCGTAAATTTGATCGAGATTTTGTAATATGAAAAAATTAACGAATGAACTACAAAAATATGATTTTATGACTCTGAAGTATTTTTTATTTCACAAATATAAGATATTTCACTCCTCAGATCGATGATTTTAAATATGAATAAAGATTTAAGCGTGATGTTGTGTCTAACCAGAATTTCCTCTGTCCCTAAATCAACACAGTATAACTTTTTATTACGTTTTGTTAATTTATCATTTTTTTAGATAGGGTTTATTGCGTAAAAGCTGTTGATTTTCAGATTCTTTAAGAAAATATTTGTTTGTTTATTATTCCATTTAAATTTGTCAGGGAGAAGTGTCTATTTCACAGCATGCATATATTTGAAAAAAAAAATACCTAAGTTATTTTACACTATGTTTATTCGATATCGATCAATTGCTTTTACTATTTGAATTCCTCAATTAATTTTCAAAATGATAAATGCCATTTGTGTATTTAAGTTTTGATTCATTGAGGTTGTATTTTTTAAAAGTTGAAGTTGTGGTTCCTCTGCGAATTTGATTTTAAAATTACCGCGAATATTAGCGCAGATAACCTTGCACCACATTTCTAATTTAAATGATGGCGAACCCTAATAACGTGAAGAAGAACAAAATTACGTTAAAGGAATATGTTTCAGATATTCTATAGCTAAGCACTTTGTTTTTGGATTTAAAACTTTAAAAACAATGGATAGTTGTTAAGAAGTTCAACTTTGGACGCAATCTTTATTTTTAAAGAAAGTGTGAACCATCTTGAAATATGGTGGGATACAAGACTGGATTTCCCTGATATTTGAAATATCACTAATGTTTACTGCATCAATTTCTTTTTTTTTTCTTTTGACAAATTGAAGTTTGAATAACAAATAAATTGCTTGAGCAGCATTTTCTTCCCCAGAACCTCGGCGGCTTTAAAAGTTTGCAATAATCATAATCACGGAACTGATCCTGTATTCATGTGTCGAAGAATAAAAGAAATGGACTCTCCTTGACTTTTAAACAAATCATTTAAAATATCAAAGAGACAGCGTAAAATAAAATCAAATTTCATTTGTTTTGTCATTTTGGCACTGCAGTTACAGTCACTTCAATAAAATAAAATATGAAATAAATCGGGAATTCATGCTTATTTTTAGGTGATGTTCTTGATGAATGTGCGTGTGGAGTTGATGCCCCCAAACAAACACAAACTCCACCAACAGATGAAACTCAGCTTCCGAGCCATTGCTACAGTCCATCTGGTAAAGACTGCAATTGGTACAGCGACTGCTTGGAGGTAATATTTTTTTTTATAAAATCAATGTGAAGCTTCTCAATCCTTTCAAATTGTATTTTAAATTCAATTTATTCGACGTTTTAAAATTTTTAATTGTTTTGTCAGAGACGATTTCCTTGCAAAGAAAGGCAACAAACATCATAAGCAATAAACAATGGTGAGAAGTTTTGCAACTTGTACGAAGACCATTACCAGCACTTCTCTCCTGAAGGTCAGCAGTGGATTGATGCCGTTAGGGGGTGTTTACAGGTGGCGTTAGTTCCACTCCTGCGTCCGTACTTCCAAATAACATGTGAGGAAATTAAAAGCAAAGAGCATTTGATTCTCATGTCAATTGCTACACAAACCCAAGGAAAAACACTCCGTCGTTTTGTGACCTAAAAATGTCGGACAAACTACAAATAGGCTTTACTGTTATACCTGGACTTTCTTCAAATTGTTTTCAGCATAAACACCTTTGCAAGGATATTTTTGAATCTGTAAAACAGTTATGGGAAACATACAAGGCATGTACATATCAGTATATTTTATCACGTTTAAGTAATGTTAAACAACTCCAATTCTCGTACTTCGGATTGAATCGGCAATCTAGATCACGCAGATCGACAACCGATGTGGCTGATTACTCAGCAGGAGCGAACCTAATAAATGTACGATTGCAAACAATATGGAATGGAAATCATCAGGTGTGACGTGGATAGCATATTTCCAAAACAACATAACGGCAGGCGAACAATCGGTCATGCAACAGTTAAACATTTTACTTGCTCCTAGTAAACTTTATAATTTGAATGACAATACAAACGTGTCTTCGGCTGTCAACTTGACTGAAGCTGTGAATAATGTAACAGACGCGTTCCGTTCTGGTATCCTTACTTCAGATATGATCAATGGTATTACCATCGTCAAATACTTTGTATGTACCGATAACAACTGTTTGAATAAATCTTTGGGGTTTATACCCCTGTCGTCGGCTTCAAAAGATGACGTAAACGATGGATTATGGACACTAACCAACACAGTAATGATAGCAGCCGGGTGTGCGTTGTTTTTGCTGATATCCTTATCTGCATGAGAAGCAGAAATTCAAGTAAAATTATTTGAAACATTTATCCTATACATCTTACAGAGGAGGGCATATGAAACCTTTAAAGCGTTGTTAATCTATATACAATTTAAGTTTTGAAAAGGAATGTTACGCTGCAATAAAATAATGTAATACTATTATATTTTTCTATATCTTATTACACTGAAATGACAACTAATAGATAAGATATAACATTTTGATTGTTGGATAGTTAGTTTATTTAAATAAATGTAATAACAAAATACATGTCCAAAAAGGTGAAGATATCTATACAAGTATTTCCTAATCTTTCGTGTAGGAGATTACAGGCATCGTCAACGTAACTTTTATTATACTTCCTTAGATATTTTCTTTATGTTGTACCTTGAATTCATTCTAGATAAAAATATAATTCAACATTGCAATATTCGAATAAATCATACTCTCGTCGTCAAGTGCATTAATCTGATGAGGGGTTTTACCTTTATTTCCCAAACATGACAAGGAGAACATAGCGGGTGTATTCCTCCGTGGCACCTGATCCCACCTCTAACTCCAATATCCTTATCTGAACATTACCCTATTTGTGCAACCCGGTAATCTAATTGCATGCAACGTAGAAACAAGCACATAGAAATTAAATACCGTGATTTCAAGAACTTGAATGAAGCTAATTTTCTGTCTGACCTGACAAATCGAAATTTGGCAGTCTTGAAGACACGATCCTTATGACAATCTTGATACTTTCTATATAATTTTTAATAATGTCCTGACAAACATGCCAAAATAAAATGTAAGAGAGTTAAAGGTGAAACTAGACCAAAGTGGCTAACTAAAGAAATAAACGAAGCTAGGCATTTACGAGATTAATACCACTGTAATGGGGATTATGATAATTTCTGAATATCGAGAAATAAAGTTGTACTCTTGATAGACAATGCAAAAACTTTGTATTACAAATCAGCCATCGAAGACAGTTCAAATCCAAGAGAGATGTGGTGATATCTTAATCAATTGGCATCTTAATCTAAAACCTAAACTCCTTCCCATATCATTTATAATGACTCAGAAACTAAAAATCACAAGATATTGATAATATTTTTATGAGCAGTTTACAGGGATTTCAAATAAACTTTTACATAACCTACCAAACTACAAATTCGATTCAGAATTTTAAAGACAATTCACAAACTCTAAACTTGGTGATGACAACTTTACACCAATTAATGACACTGAACAATTTGATTCATTGAACGGGCTAGATGTCAATAAATTTGCAGGCATTGACTTCATTGGACCTCGTCTCTTAAAACTATCAGCTAGTAATATTTGTAAATCATTAACTTATTTAATAAACGCTAGTATCAGCAATTGTAGTTTTCCATCAAAGTTGAAACCAGCAAAAGTCATCCCTGTATATAAAAAGGACAGCAAAACAGACCCCAGTAACTACCGTCCCATTTCTATACTTCCAACATTATCCAAAATAATTGAAAAGCACATAGCAAACCAAATACGAGATTTTACCTCTACTTTTGATCTTGTAACAAAATCTCAATCTGGATTCAGAGAATTTCACTCTTGTCAAACAGCACTAACCAAATTAACAGATGCTTGGTTGCATGCTATGGACGAACTAATCTAATAAGTATAACATTTTTTGGATTTTAGTTTTGATTTAGTTTTGATTGAGTCATGAAATTCTGATAGAAAAATTAAAGAATTACAACTTTGATGATGGTTTCACTCGTATCTGTATAACAGGACACGATGTGTAAAAATTGGTACAACTTCTTCTGATGTCTTACCTGTCACAGCAGGAGTGCCACAGGGATCAATTTAAGGCCCCCCATTGTTCTTGTTGTATATTAATGACAAATGAGAATTCCCTGCGGACCGGTCACACCCACCGTGTGCTCCTTGTCATGATCGGGAAAAAATTCGGAAAAGGAAATATTCGAATTTAGAACAATAAAAAACGGTCTAACAACTGACCTGACACAATTCAGCCAAATCATGTCATATTACTCCTCCTTGGTATTCGAATTTTCAAGGGGTCCTTGTCCCATGCCCTCTTTACACTGTTCAATGAGAGATACAAACACTATCCTTTATTACTGTACTAGCAACCTCAACACTAGCACTTACTTGGAGTATTGACCCTGTCATTTTTCACATCGAATTCATACACATCAATAAATTCAAGGTATTGCACTCTAAAAAAGAAAAAAATATATATATTTTAGCTTACGAACGAATTGATTTGCTTATCATACTTCAATGACCTTTATGTTTGAAATTTCAGAGAAAAATGTATGTAATGTTAAGCATTATATGATATTATGCCTAAATAAATCGAGTTTTCATCACTAACACATATCTAGTTTGGTTAATTTCATTGAGTCTCTTGCTATCAGGGGTTGGATACCTCAGATGACATTTTTGTTAAGGTTTACACATTTTATTTCAATAATATATTAACAAAAAAGTGGAAGTAATACCTCCTCATAGGCCCTCATAGATATATCTTCACCTGGGGTGCCAGGAGCTCCCTGGATCAGATAGAAAGAATCAGTACATTTAATATTATATATACATATATTAAGATGTACAAATTTCAATGAAATAGATCTAGAACTATTGAAAAAAGAAAAAAAACAGTTATATGTATACATAGATAGTATAATATTCCACTTACATGTACTTTATACAATATTTTCATATATTTACATTTGCAAATGTTTTCCTTTATATAATACTACTAAAGGCAAGCGTTTTTATAACTGTATAAATACAGGTATGGGGTCAAGAGGTCATAGATGTGCGTTTGGATAAACGTTCGACGTAATTTCTCTGTGACGTCATAAAGGGTCGACGCGCGTTTAGTGGATTACATACATGCCGTTGGGTTTGAAAAATTAACGCATTTCACACGTTAAAAGTAACAATTAGGCAAATATAAAGTATGAATAAGTCACAAATGTAAATATAAGTAATAAGGTATCATTTTTTGAGTTTTATTGAGATGTAAAACGGGTTGGCACATGATCAAATCTTCCATAAAGCCCTTCGGGCTTTATGGGATTTGATCACGTGACCAACCCGTTTTACATCTCAATAAAACTCAAAAACTGATACCTTATTTCTTAAATATATCTAGCATGAAGAAAAAAAAACCAGATTCAATTTCATAAGAGATAATCGTAGGGGGACACCAACACACAAAAGTCCATATTTCCCCCTACGAAATTATACCCCAAAGGCTAGGTCACCTTTGGATTAATATATAATATATTGTTCTGTCAAGTGTTAAGAGTTATCTCTCTTTACTTATTGATTTTGCCTGTTAGAACTCTTTTGTGTTTTTTGGTAAAATTGTTGCATAGAAGCCCGCCATTTTTTAACGTGGTTGGACGCCGCTTAGTTTACTTTGACAAATTCACCATAATTTAGGCCTATCACAGAGTATGTATTTATTTGTAAACACTTAATTATTCTGTAAAATGATTATCTCTATATGTTTATACCTTTTTTAGAGACTGAAAGCAGTTTTATTTGTAATTATTGAAGCTGTCATACTGGAAACTTGTCGTCTATTGATAATGTAAACATAGCCTTGTTTTAATTTGTACATCTGCCTATGAATTATTTGCCAAGCGGTAGATTGATAAAGTTACAAGTTATCTCGGAATATATTTTGATAGTTTGACCTAATATTTGTGGTTTTATACTTCTAAATGTCATGCTGCAAAATTTTATTTCTATGGAAGCCATTTAGTGTCATAAGTCCTTTTTACATTGCTGCTATTGTACATTTTCCAGATTATGTTCATTACTTTTTACATTATCATGTTAATGTTTATGAACAATTTCTAAAACGAGATAAATTATTGACAAGCAAGTTGAGGAAACAAGAATATCAGCAGTCTCGTTTAAAGTCATAATTTCGTTAGTCCTATGGTTGATACAATGACCTTGTCAGCAAATACAGTTTATCACTGAGCCAAATGCTGACTGACGTTTTTCATACAAATTGTTAGTCCATTATTTATACACTGAATTGACGACGGATTTTTCCCGTTATTTCCTGATCAAGACAAGGAGCACACGGTGGGTGTGACCGGTCGGCAGGGGATGCTCACTCCTCCATCGCATCTGATC